CCATGGACCTCGGAGCAGCCCTGGGCGGCTCAGCCGTATGACCGCCCGCACCGTGAGCTGCTGCCATGCTACAGAGGGGCACGTGGAGCAGATGGGGGTCCCTGCCCTGGGTCAGGCAACCAGTGGTCGCTTGGTTGGCTTCTGACCCAGGCTCGTCTGGCCCCACAGCCCCTGTCCTCACTCTGCACCAGCCGCTTCAGCATGCCGGGCCCCGTTTCCGGGTGTGGAACAGGAAGCTTCCAGAAGGGAGGAGTGGGTCAGGGCCCCACAGCTGGGTGTGAGTGGGCTCCTCCTTCCCAGCGCTGCTTGGGGTTTGGCCCTCTGCCCCCTGACCGTGCCCAGCTCCCCGTGCCCAGCTCTGATAGCACAGTGACCGGTGGGCCTCAGGCCCTGAGTCTCCAGACCCGTCTGCTCTGGGGCCTCCGTTCTGGTTGTGTTGGTACAGGGAGCGCTGCCCAGATGGTGTTTATTCTCGCATGACTACTGTGTGTGTGTGTGTGTGTATTTGTTGATTAAAAATATTCCTTGCTTTATTTTGCAGCAACATTAAAAAATATTACAAATCTCCTCCTGCCCCTGAGAAGCTTGCCAATGTTTTCCTTAACCCCTCGCTCACCAGGTGGTGCAGTTTGGTGGATCCCCCTGGGGGCCTGGGACGAGGAAACCAGAGCCCCCTCTGCTGTGCAGAGCTCCCCCGCCCACCACAGCCTCCCTTACTCCCAGGCTCAGTGGGCTTTTGACCTTGGTCCTCCTCTCCAGCCTAACACATGGCTTCCATCAGACTCTCAGACAGGCCAGACTTGGCTCCTCTCAGAGGCCTGCACTCACCCTTCCCTCTGCTCGGAATTAGATCTTTTCCCCCTGACTCTTAAGACGTGAGCCTGGCAGGCCTCCTCATGTCAGGCAGGGGTCCCTGTTAGTGCCGTCTCCTCTGAGGGGTCTTCCCGCCATCCCCATGTGTGCCCGGCCCTGCAGGTCTGTATTTTATTCTTTCTCAGCACTCACCACTCTCATGCTTCTTGGATTTTAATGACATGTTAGTTTTGAAATAGAGATATCAAATACTATGTGGAAAAACCCACCTCTTACCCTTTACTGTCTGTCAGTCCCTGTTTCCGCCTTCACCGAACCCCAAGGCAGCTGGCCTCCTTTCACCTCTGGAGAGTTGCCTGTTCTGCATACTTCACACAAGTAGGGTGTGCAGTGTGTGGACTCCTTCACTAGGTGTGATGCTCTCAGGTCATCATGCTGTGGCCTGTGTGAGTTCTTCATCCCTTTTTGTGGCTGATACTCCATTATTTTTACTCATCCCCCATGCCAGTTGATGGATGTGTGAGTTTTTTTTCCACCTTTGCCTGTTACGGATGATGCTGATGTAAACTCACAGGTGCAGATGAGTGTGAACGTGAATTTGCATTTCTCTTGAGCGGGTACCAGGAATGGAACTGCCAGGTCTAACAGTGACGCTGTGTTAAACTTTCGAGGAACTTGCAGACTGGTTTCCATGGTGACAGCACCATTTATTTGCTACCAGCAGAGTATTAGGGTTCTGACTTGTGCATGTCCTGGCCAACACTTGCTACTACCTGAAATTTTTGATTATGGATATTGTAGTGGGTGTGAAGTGATATCTCCTTGTGGTTTGAACTTGCTTATGTCTCTTGACTAAGGATACTGGGCATCCTTTCATTTGGTTTTAGCCATTTGTGTATGTTCCTTAAAGACATGATCTTTTGGATTCATTGCCTATTTTTAAGTTCGATTATTTTTCTTCGTATTGTTGAGTTGTAGGAGTTCTTTTTATATTCTAGTTACATATCCTTGTCAGATAAATGATTTGCAAATTCTGTGTGTGATCCCTGAACTTGCTTCATTGTGTCCTTTGACAAACGAACCACTTTAGCTTGGTGAAGTTCAGTGCATTTGTTTTCTCTGTGATCGCTGCTGCTGTCAGTGTCATATCTACAAGCTCACTGCCAAAGCCAAGGCCATGAAGGCCGCCCCTCCAGCTTCTCCTGAGAGCCACGTTGGTACCTGCTACGCTTTGATCTCTGCTCCCTTTGGAGGCAGGTTTGGTATATGGTGAGAGATGGCGGTCTGACTTCATCCTGCTGCACCTGGCGGCCAGCTGTCCCAGCACCGTCTGTTGACGAGACGACTCTTTACCCATTAAGTAGTTTTGGCACCTTGTCAATCAGTCAAGCACAGATACATAGGTTTGTTTCTGTATTCTCAGTTCTCTTCCACTGCTGTGCTTACTAGGTCTTCTCTTGTCCCGTAATCATCAACTAGCTATTTGATTAAATACCACAGGGGCTCAATTTTATTATTTTAATTTTAGCTGCTAAAAAATGTTCTTGGTAAAAAACTGCAGCACAGAAGTGCCAGAAGTGACAGTCCTGGCCTGTCTGCTCCTGCCCAGGTGTAGAATATGCCTCAGGAGCATGTGAGGTGCACTTGAGCGGATGCACACACTGGAGAATGTGTGTGTGCCAAGGCTGCGTGTCTGCCTCTTTAATTGTGAATCTTTTTTACAAATTCGAGATGCACGAGATGTCCTCTGACTCTGACAGGGATGTGTCTTGCCTGCCTTTCTTGATGGTTGTGCAGTGTCTCACAGGAGGCACGCCGTGGTTTCTCTAGCCACTGCCTGTCCTGCACATACGTGTCATTTCTTCCTGTGCAAGGCCAGCGCCTCTGTGCACTCGGGGAGCACTTTCCTGTCCCAGACCCCTGAAGTGGAGCTGTTGCCATGCACTCCATCCTTAGGTCCTCTCTTTAACACGTCCCTCCCTGTGCTCTGCGATGCTGTGCCTATACTAGGCATTCAGCAAAGTGACTGACACTCTCAGGGGCTGTTACTCTGGCCTCTTCCCTCGCTGTTTCACTCTGGCCCGTCTCACTTCCTCCATGAAGGAAAGCCTTGATTATCCAGTTGTTGTGGGGGAACCAGGGTGAATGAATCAGGCCGTGCTAGATTTTCTGCTGTGAGTGTGGCCCTGCGGGAATTGGAAGGGATGGAGAAGTGGCCCCTGCTCTTGGCATATTTGCAGACCTTCAGATGAGGCCAGTAGGATGTGAGGCACTTCCCCAGAGTGTACCCCTTGCAGCAAGTAATGGAGCCGGCAAAGGGACTGAGACCCCCAGGGAATTAGACTTTGGAGGCCAGTGGGATTTGATTACAGAACTTGCACAGGACTGGGGAAACAGAGAAACAGACTCTTGGAGGGCCCAAACAGAACCTTATGCACACCAGGATCCAGGAGAAAGGAGCAGTGTCCCCACAAGAGACTGAGCCAGATTTGCCCATGAGGGTCCAGGAGTCTCCTGCAGAGGTGTGGGTCGACAGTGGCCTGCTGCGGGGTCAGGGCACAGAGTACACAGTACAGGCGCAAGTCCTTGTGAAGGAGGTCGCCATTCCTGCCATTGCCCCTGCCATAGTTTGGCCTGAGGCCAAACAACAGGGCGGGAACACAGCCCCCGCCCATCAGTGGAAAATTGGATTCAAGATTTACTGAGCATGGCCCTGCCCATCAGAACAAGAGCCAGATCAGATTCCCCACAGTCTGTCTCTCCCAATGGGAAGCTTCTACAAGCCTCTTAACTATCAGAGGGCAGACAGAATGAAAACCACAGTCACAGAAAACTAACCAAACTGGTCACATGGACCACAGCCTTGTCTAACTCAATGAAACTATGAGCCAAGCCATGTAGGGCCACGCAAGAACAGATGGGTCATGGTGGAGAGTTCTGACAAAATGTGGTCCTCTGGAGAAGAGAATGGCAAACCACTTTAGCATTCTTGCCTTGAAAACCCCATGAACAGTATGAAAAGGCAAAAAGATAGGACACTGAAAGATGAACTCCCCAGGTCGGTAGGTGCCCAATATGCTCCTGGAGATCAGTGGAGAAATAACTCCAGAAAGAATTAAGAGATGGAGCCAAAGTGAAAACAACACCCAGTTGTGGATGTGACTGGTGATGGAAGTAAAGTCCGATGCTGTAAAGAGCAATATTGCATAGGAACCTGGAATGTTAGGCTCGTGAATCAAGGTAAATTGGAAGTGGTTAAATAAGAGATGGCAAGAGTGAATTTCGACATGTTAGGAATCAGTGAACTAAAATGGACTGGAATGGGCTAATTTAATTCAGAGGACCATTATATCTACTATTGTGGCCAAGAATCCCTTAGAAGAAATGGAGTAGCTCTGATAGTCAGCACAAGAGTCCAAAATGGAGTACTTGGATGCAATCTCAAAAATGACAGAATGATCTCTGTTTTTCCAACTCTTAATATCACAGTAATCCAAGTCTATGCCCCACCCAATAATGCTGAAGTTGAACCGTACTATGATGACCTATAAGACCTTCTAGCACTAATACCCAAAGAAGATGTCCTTTTCATTATAGGGGACTGGAATGCAAAAGTAGGAAGTCAAGAAGTACCTGGAGTTAACGGGCAAGTTTGGTCTTGGAGTACAAAATGAAGCAGGGCAAAGGCTAATAGAGTTTTGCCAAGAAAATGCACTGGTCATAGCAAACACCTTCTTCCAACAACACAAGAGAAGACTCTACATGTGGACATAACCAAATGGTCAATACTGAAATCAGACTGATTATATTCTTTGCAGCCAAAGATGGAGAAGCTCTGTACAGTCAGCAAAAACAAGACTGGGAGCTGACTGTGGCTCTGGTCATGAACTTCTTATTGCAAAATTCAGATTTAAATTGAAGAAAGTGGGGAAAACCACTAGACCATTCAGGTATGACCTAAATCAGTGGAGTGGGAGAGAAGGTCCTTAACTTGGTGCTGTCCGTGGTGGGACCCTGGACGCCCCCAGGGAAGGGTGGGCCCACAGGAGTGGTTCTGAGTGGAATTCAGTGCATTATGGGAGTTGGTCTTGAGGAGGTGGTCTGCTTAGAAATTCGGGGTGTGAGTGAGGGATGTCACTTCCCCAGGGTTCTGTAATGTAACCGTTCCCCTCAATCCTTAACCACAGCTGTCTGAAAACGTGGTCAACCGCATGAAGGATCCCGGCCAGCCGTCCGGAGTTGGGCCGTTGGACCCTCCAGCTGCTGCCCTTGGCTCCTCCGGAGGCCGAGAGAAAGGTAGGCCAGGGCGGAAGGCCTGGGCGCGGTTGGGTGGAGAGGTCCTCCTGGAGACAGCGCCCTGAGCCCTGGGTGGTGCGTGCAGGAAGCACTTCCCAGGAGCGAGGGACCCGCATGGCGCACTCCCGTCCAAGGACAGCAGTGTCCGCAGAGCCTCCAGGACCACTGCTGAGTCAAGAGCAGAGTCCCCCACTGTGCCAGCCTCTCCGCATGGGAGGAGGCAGTGACGGGGTGGCCTTGGTGTCGTCCTCAGAGCTCTGACCTGCCCTTCGCCCTGGGGTCCTGGCCCTGCTCCTGGGATGGTGGCGCTGGGCTCCGGGAGGGCCGCCACCCGGCCCCCAGGTCCCCCCAGCCCACCTGGAGCCGCCTGCGCTGGGCAGGAAGGGCCTTCATTCCCCACTGGCACATCTGTCATGGGAGGAAAAGCCTGTGCTTTTCTTGAAGTAATTCCTGTTAGCAAACATACACAAAAGTGAAGTCGCTCAGTCATGTCTGACTCTTTGCGACCCCATGGACTGTAGCCCACCAGGCTCGTCGGCCCATGGGATTTTCCAGTCATGAATACTGGAGTGGGTTGCCATTTCCTTCTCCAGGGGATCTTCCTAACTCAGGGATTGAACCTGGGTCTCCCACACTGTAGGCGGATGCTTACCATCTGAGCTACCAGGGAAGCCTTTGCAAGCACAGAGGAACAACGCATTTAAGAGTGGAGAAAGTATAGTGCAAAAATATTAAGACGTTACAGACTGGAAAAGTCCTCATGGCAGCTAGTTAAATGCAGAGCTTGTCAATGAGGAGCTGGGTTCCCCGCTGCAGTGTGCGTGCGTGCTTTACATCGAAGTGCTGGAGGGGCGCAGCCTCGCAGTGGAGCTGCCTTCTCCGCTGATCTGCCCCGCTGGGGTGCCAGCTCGCAGGGGGCTGCTGCCTCCTGTCTGCTCCGCGTGAGCTGCGTGCTGGCCCTGTGGTTGTGAGCCCTGTGCTGGGATACCGCCCAGCCTGTCGGGAGCTGAGTGTGTGACCCTGCAGGGTACCGTGTCCCCTGCCCGTGAGACATGGGCGCCCATCGGGGCCGGCGGCACAGGGGAGGGCTCGTTACTCGGGGGTTCCAGGGAGCCGGCGCGGGAGCTGGACTTTGAGGTGCGGCCCTGCAGATGGGGTGGCGGGGGCTCAGGCGCGGCGCAGCCTCACCTGTTTCAGGACCCGCGCGTGGTTTCCTGTCTGGAGTGTGAGGCGCAGGAACGGCGGCCTGGGCTGCTGGCTGGGCCTCGTGACACCCCATCCCCTGCACTGTTTGCCTTGGGGCTCCCGACACGCTTTAGGGACTCCCTGGCAGTCCAGTGGTTGGGACTCCGAGCTTCCACTGCAGGGACGTGGGTTCAGCCCCTGGTTGAGGAATTAAGATTCGGCAAGCCATGCTACATGACCATGAAAATAACAAAGTACTTTGATGTTTGACAGTGAGTGAGTTTTGACTTTCTGAAAGCTGGAGAGTCGTCAGTGTGGATGGACTTCCCTGAAGTGGACTGATTTTAGGATTCTTTTTTATTATATGTTGTAAGGTATATATTTATTTGACTGCACCAGGTCTCAGCTGCAGCCCGTGAGATCTCCTTTGGGCCGATCGGGGTCCTTCCCTGCTGTGCACGGCCTCTCTGCTTGTGGTGCACAGGCCCAGTAGTCATGGCGTCTGGGATCTTAGTTCCCCAGCCGGCAATCGAACCTGCATTCCCTGCATTGCAAGGAACGGATTCTTAACCTCTGCACCGCCTGGGAAGTCCCTGCTTTTACTTTCAAAAGCAGTGTTAGCTCTTACTTTACTAATAAAGTTAAAAGAAGTTAAACTTCTTTTTTTCTTTTTAATTTATATAAATTTATAATTTATAAATTTCTTTATAATTTTCTTTATAAATTTTCTTACTTTAATTTTTCTAAATAGGAAAAGAAGTTAAAATTAAACCCTTAAGTCACACCATACCCCAAGTGCATGTCTGAAGCCAGAGATCGAAATATAATGAAGAAACTTTAAATGAAGAAGGGTGGGAAACATGACTAAAATTTGAGACAGTTTAGAAAAAATGAGTGAAGAATGAGTGAGAAACTAGCAAAGTATGAGCAGAGTTCACCTGCCAAGGGCCGTGACGCCCTCTGACGGGCTGCAGGGAAACGTGCAGAGACAGTCACATCCGTGACGAGGGCCCAGCCCCTTGGATGGTTGCTCCCTCATGGCATCACCAGCGCAGGACTGGCCCGATGCCATGGAATGTGGCTGTAAGGGTCTGGGCACGAACTCTACAGTGGGTGCCCACATTACTTTGGTAGTCATGAGAAAGGAAAACTATGTAGAAAGCAAAAATGTGATAAATCTTACTTCAGGAGAGTGTTGTCAGTCAGTCACTAAGTCCAGGGAGCCTTCCATCAGGCCCACACCTGCAGTGCCTCCTGCATGCTCCTGGCGAGGCCCCAGCGTGCCTGCCTGGCCTTCTGGAGAGCTGTGTGCCCAATGAGGCCCAGGGGGCTGCCCCAGGGGGCCTTCCCGAGGGCCTGAGCCCCCAGCCTCTGCGGTTGACAGCCATGAAGGTCTTGGGAGCAGCACCCACCTCCCCACCTTCCTCCCAAAGCCTGGTTCTCCTGCTGGGTTTCCTGTGGCCCACGTGGCCGAGCGTGGATGCCTGCAAGCAGGCGGAGACATTGGCTAAGGTCTCCGCTGTGTGGGGACCATGAAGCTGAGGCCACAGGGGCAGCAGACCCTCACTGTCACTGTGTGGTGGAGGAGGGGAGTGAACGGGTTTGCTTGGAGATCCCTGGGTTCTTGCTGCAGGAAGGTGGGCCTCCCGTGATAGCCTGAAGCGCTGTCACACTCGAGGTGACACAGGTGGAAAGGTGTGCAGACTTCCTTCCCGGGAGCGCAGGCCGCGTTCAGGTCAGAGCCCTAGGGAAGGGGCCCAAGAGACACAGGCCGCGCCCCCGCTGACCTCTCAGTGTGGAGGCGAGGAGCTCCCCTCAGCTGGCTGGCCTCTTGGGGAGGGTGCCTGGGTTCTAGCAGCTGAGAGGTAGAAGGGGGGTGTCGGTCACTGCACTCAGGTGTCCACACTGACCCAGTGACCCTGCCACCCTGTCTGTACAGGACACAGACCAGGGGCCTTCAGGGCGCCTCCCTCCTGACAGCAGGGCAAGCCTGTGTTCTGTGTTGGCCCCGGGCACGTCCACCCAGGGGGCGTCCTCCCAGGCCCTCTCCTGGGTGAGCACCATGACCGCGTCCATCTGGGGGCGTCCTCCCGGGCCTTCTTCTGGGTGACCACTGTGACTGCGTCCATCTGGGGGCGTCCTCCCGGGCCCTCTCCTGGGTGACCACTGTGACCGCGTCCATCTGGGGGCGTCCTCCCGGGCCTTCTTCTGGGTGACCACCGTGACCGCGTCCATCTGGGGGCGTCCTCCCGGGCCTTCTTCTGGGTGACCACCGTGACCGCGTCCATCTGGGGGCGTCCTCCCAGGCCCTCTCCTGGGTGAGCATCGTGACTGCGTCCATCTGGGGGCGTCCTCCCGGGCCCTCTCCTGGGTGACCACTGTGACCGCGTCCATCTGGGGGCGTCCTCCCGGGCCTTCTTCTGGGTGACCACCGTGACCGCGTCCATCTGGGGGCGTCCTCCCGGGCCTTCTTCTGGGTGAGCATCGTGACTGCGTCCATCTGGGGGCGTCCTCCCGGGCCCTCTCCTGGGTGAGCATCGTGACTGCGTCCATCTGGGGGCGTCCTCCCGGGCCCTCTCCTGGGTGACCACTGTGACCGCGTCCATCTGGGGGCGTCCCCTCGGCCCCCTCCGGGTGATGCTGAGCCTCCCTCCATCCGTGGGTTGCTGCTGACCTTTTCTTATCCATCTCTGCAGACTCGAAACCACCCAGGCCGGAGTGTGGCAGTGGCCAGGGACCCCTGAGGGTGCAGGTGGATCCCCTTGAGAGGTATGCTGAGGAGCCGCTCGCCCCGGGCCTACGCCTTCCTCACCAGGTGCCTTCTCCCCACCCAGAGGCCAGGGGTTCTGGTCCCTCACGTTGTCTTACATCGGTGGGACGCCAGGCCTGCGGTTTCGGTGGCTCTGGTCCTCGTGTGACAACAGGAGACTCCGGGTGGGGGAGGGCGGGGCTCCGTGGCCTTGCGGGTGTGCACAGCCGTGTTTGGAGGAGCTCGCTCGTGGCCTGGCTGCAGGTGTGGACGCCTCCCCAGCACAGGCCTCAGGCTGGTGAGCGCCCTGGCTGGGGCAGGGCTGGCAGGCAGCGGCGGAGGCCCTGGGTGCACCGTGTCTCTAGGCCTCAGGGTCCCCGGGGCTGATGTGGGGTCCTCGCGGTGTGGCTCAGCAAGCCCCTGGCTGGTACTGAGGGGCTCGTCTGCAGCCGCAAGGTTGTGCCTCTGTAACGGATGCAGACAGCTGCCCTCGGGGGGGCGGCGGGCCTGGGTCAGCCCTGCTGGGCAGCCCCCTCTGCAGGTCAGCGCAGCCGCGTCCGTCCTGTGATCTCAAAAGGACCCACCTTCTGAGAGTGTCCAGTCCCTAATCCCCAGAGGTCTCATCCAAGCAATTAACCAGAATATTATTTAAAAAAAATACTTTTAAGCATTTTAAAAAACGTTCAAGTAATACGTGCTATTGGAAGACTTAGGATATATATGGAATGAAAAATTCACCCGTAGATTCATCATCCCATATTAACATTTTGGACTATTTTTTTCAAATGTCTTTTTTCCTCTAGTTTAGCCTTATGTTTTTCAAAGTTGTGTAAAATTTTGTTATCTTGCTGTTTTTATCCAGTCTTCTAATTATCTTCCATTTGTCACACCTGCCTTGTGAGCATTTTTCCTGCTGAAGGCCCCATGTCTGGTCCTCGGTCTTGGGGCTGTGGTGCGGCAGAGAGTGTGGCACTCAGGGCCTCATGCCCGCTGTGCTCTCTGGGCTGAACTGCCGCGGCCTTTTTCACTCTTGAGTTGTTTACCCCCCCAATAAAGAGCGCTTCTAAGACCTTCTCAGCCGCTTGTTTCTTTCTCTAGCAGGATTTTACTAGGGAGACTAGAAACAGGTCCAAGGGGAGGGACGCGTTCAGGACGGAGAGTTGACCATTGAGAACCAAGGCTACTGCTCCTGACCCTGCAGTCCTGGGGTGGGGCGGGGAGGTGGGCTGTCCCCTGCCCATCTCTGAAGGGGCCTCGGATAGTGGGGTTGGACCCCTGCCTTGCGGATCTCTCACTGGGCATTGGGTCTCCGGTTCCTCAGCTGTCTGAGGACATGTGGCAGTGTCCCCCCAACCCCTGGGGACCGTCGCTGGTGCCTGACCCTTTCTGGTGGCTGTGGCGTCCCGTCGGCCCTCACGTCCCTGCCCCAACAGCCGCGTGAGCCGCGCCTGCATCTATGTCCCCGTCTCTCCTCTGGCCCAGGTGTGACCGGGAGCAGGCTGTGCTCCAGCACGAGCTGGTCCGTGTGGCCACGACAGACAGAGAGCCATCTGCAAAGCCCCGGAGCGTGACCCTGCGGCATGGGGAGGGCAGTACGGACCAGGAGAAGCAGCGGTCGGCCCAGCTGGTGAGTGCAGGTCCCCAGGCGGCCCTCCTGGCCCCGCTGGTCCAGGGAGCAGAGTTCAAGCCCTGGGCCTGTGTCGGGCTGAAGTCACAGCTCCTCCTCCATGGGGAGGGTGCCCTAGGGGTTGGGAGCCAGGGCCCTATGGCCGGGGACTTGTCGCCGTGGAGACGGCGGGGGCAGACAGTCCAGCAGCCAGGTGGGCGGGGCCTGGCCTGGACACGCCGGGCTCAGCAGTCTGGCGGGGGCCTGGTGGGCACTGCAGCCCGCGCGCGGCTCTCACCGGGGTCCTGGGCGGCACAGCTCCCCTCTGGCCCCGCCCCCAAGCGTCCCCACAGCGGGAGGGGGTCTCCTGCCTCCAGCACAGCTCTGGGTCTCTTTCCATGAGGGGCAGCTCTCCTGGATGCCGGGTGGGTGGTGCCCTCTGCCGGCACACGGAGCCCACAGGGCCCAAGGCCACCCTGTCTCTGCAGGCGCCCCTGAGCCCTTGTGAGGCCCGGCTCTCCACTGGTCGCCGCCCACCTCCTAGTGCAGCTAGAGGCCCCGCTCCCTTTGGGAGCTCACTGCTTCCTGTTGTGGGTCCTGAGGTGGGATTCTGGCGGCTGTTTTCCCTGCTCCGGCCCAGACAGGGTCTGGGCACAGGGCCCAGGGTAGCCAGTCATGCCCGACCCAGGTCGTGCAGTGCTGGGGGTGTGGGGGCTGGTCTGGGGCTTCCACACCGTCAGGGGCGCTGACCGGGAGAAGTGCCTCTGGGAGGCTGTGTGGCTGCCGCCTCCTGCACTGCCGGGTGCTTGGGCTTTGGCTGGAGGTCAGGCAACGGGTTAGCCTGAGCAGATGCAGAGAAGCGCAGTCAGAGCTCCGGTGGAAGGGAGCGAGGCACTGTCAGAGCTCCAGCGGAGCACTGGCGGAGGGTAGCGAGGCTGCGGCATTGCCTGCAGTGGGTCCTGTGCTCGCAGCTGCTTCAGCGGATGTGGTGTCAGAAGTCTACATTGAGAGTTTAGGAAGGAGGGGAAGGATGGGAGCAGAACCTGAGTTGGGCAGAGGGTTTTCTTTCCTTCCCGGGGTCCTTGCAAGTGGGACAGGGGAGCCTGGGTCCTGGCTGGGCCCTTCTCCCTGCCTCCTGACCCCAGGGGCCCCGACCCTGCGCCTGCCGCCAGCTGGAGGGTGTCTGTCCAGGGTGCTGAGTGTCGCGGGCATTCAGCGTGCTCCTTGCTCTGGTTTCTGTAGCGTGCCTGTTTGGTCCTCTTCTGTGTGAGAGAATGATTGAGCTCCTTACTGGAGAAAGTCCATAAAGCTAATGACAAGGAATGGCAGTCCTGTCTGTGACCTGCTTCTGAAGGCCTGTTCTGCGCGTGGGGCTGCTGCAGTGAGCTGCTGCGTGTGGACGCATGGTCCCCCCGCGTGCGTGTTCCTGACCCTGCCTTCATCATCTGAACCGCGGGAAGGTGGGACAAACGGGCCATTGGAGTTGGAAACAGAGAAAGGCTTGTGGCAGGGAGGGCGGAGCAAGGAAACAGCGGCTCAACTCCTCCCCACCCACAGCTCCTGGGAGGGTTTCAGGAGAGCGTGTTTAAAGGTCAGGTTGGGTGGGGGTGGGTGGGGGGGTCGCAGGGTCTTTGATCAGCTGGTGCACAGTTCTCTGGTGGACTGATGATGAGGTCACAGGCCTTTCTGGCTCCTTGGTGGTGCTTTCAACATCTGTAAGCGGCTCAGGAATGCGGTTGGGGCTGTTATCTGCATACCTCTGAGAGGAGCTTGGCAGAGCAGGGGTGGGGAAGCCTGCCCCCAAGGCCCCAGAGGCTTGCACCCGCCTCCCCTGGTCTTCCCCGCTGCTGTCCTGCGCCTGGCCCCCGGGGCCCTGGGCGGGGTCCCGATGGGCCGCAGGTGGGGCGCAGGTGCTGAGCTCCATCCCTATTCCAGCTCCCTCCTCTGCTGGCTCTGTTCCGGGGGCCCACGTGGTGCTGTGACAGCCTGTCCACACCCACTGACTCCGTCCTGCCTGCCCCGCCCCCACTCCCCCTCCCCACGCCCCTGTCTTCCCTGGCCCCTCAGGAGTTGCCTTGTCCCCGTGGCCACCCCTTGGAGCTGCCCTGTCCCCTCGTCCTGGCCCTCAGCTGTGGCGTCTGGAGATCAGAGTTGGTTTCTCAAACTCTTTGCAGTTTGGTTTTCACACCCATTGGCACTTTGATCTCAGACTCAACAAATCTGGTGACTCTCTTCACGTTTCCCCGTGGATTCCTTGACAGGAAGCTGCTGCCTGGCCTTTAAACTCTCCTCTCCGCCCGTTTCTGCCAGCTCCTCCTGCCTCCCACCCTGTCCTGTTCCGCTGGGGGCTGCGGGCTGGGCTGAGCGGGACAGACCCTAGAGGGTGCACGTGCAACAGATCACAGGCAGGGAAGCTTGAGGCGCTCGAGGGCCAGGAACTTAGAGGAGGAGCAGGACCCCGTTAGATGGACACCTACGAGGCCTTCTCTGGGGAGCAGACCTGAGTCGTGGTGGGGGACACCCGGGGTCTCGGGACCGGAGGCTCAGTAAGCTGGGGAGCTGGGGCCCCGCCTGGGGAGAGGGCAGCGCATGGAGGGGCTCGTGGGCCTGGGGCACGTGGCCGGATGCAGTCGTGCCTGGGATAGTTTCCAGAAGGTTCTGCGTGGAAATCAACAGGAAACTGCCAGAGTCCTGCTGAGATGCCGTGGTGGCCTGGAGAGAGGGCGGGAGGGGACCCGAGCAGCAGGGGACAGGTGTGTGGGGCAGTGGGCAGGCGGGCGGGCATGTCGTGGCCACCAGCAGGGCCGGGGGCCTGTGCAGCCTCCTGTTGGCCCTCATGCCTCAGGCAGGCGGGCTGTCCCAGGTCCCAGCATCCGTGAGGACCGGGAGCAGGTGTGTGAGGGGGAGGCCCCATGCAGGGCACTTCCTCCAGGTGGTGGGCCGGGTCGTGTGGTCCTCCCCTGGGACCATGGGCTGCAGTGCACGCACTCAGTCAGGTATTTGAGGGCCGGGTGTCCTTTGGATGATTGTGCGGGTTCTCTAGGACTGCAGGGTGGAGAACTGAAAATTCTGGTGGTGTCCGGCACCTGGTGTTGGAGGTTGTGGCCTAGACTGGGTTCAGGAACCAGACTCCTGGGACGAGCCCTGCGTCCTGGCTGTCCTCCTGGGTTGCCACTTGTCTCTTGTAGGCCCTTCTCTTAGGGGGTGGTAGTCATGCCCGGGAGGCCCCTCGGTTGTCTGTGGAGTCTTGAGATCACGCACAGGAGGGGCTTGGGTGCTTGGTTCCTTGGGCCGACAGAACGTTTCCCGCCTGTCAGCTTGGTGGGGGGCGTACACACTCAAGTCCTGCTTCCTTGCAGCCCCCACTGCCCCGCCCAACCCAGAGACCCTCCTCATGCCTCGTGATGCTTGCTCCTTTGCAGGTCTGGAGAGGGGTTTCCATCCTAGAGAGTCCATGGCAGAGTCCGGCCCAGACGGGGCCCTGCCTGTGCTTGAGGGGCTGGGAGTCCAGGCGGTCCTGCCTATGTGGGTCTGGGAAGGTGGGGAGAACCGGGCCACTCTCCTGCTTCTCACGCCCTCACCGTGGCAGGCGGTGGCTGTGGCTGTTGCCACACCAGTGTCTGGTGCCCTTGGGAACCAGGCCACATCCTGTAGCCTCTCTTGTCCCGCGTGCTGGGCCCACGAGGGGGCAGTCCTGGGCCCCGCTGGGTGGGGGGGAGGGGACGGCTGCGGGAGTCACGGGCAGGAGGACGGGACCTCGGGAGGCTGCGCCCTGCCTGGCCCCGCCTGCACCTGTGCCTGCGAGCGAGGCCCCGGCCTGTGTCCTCCCAGGGGTGGGGCCGGGTCTGTCCAGCGGGAAGGGTGCCACCTGCCCTCCAGCCCCTCCGTGGGGCCACCCGGGGTGGGGGGGGCTCTCGCTGTCACGTTCTCTCCAGGAGGCCCGGCGGCCATCAGGCAGCAGCACTGGAACCGGGTGGAAAGCTCCTGTCCATAAGCCGCTTACTCCTGGAGCAGGAGAGTCGCAGCTCTCCCGGCCAGCGAGCAGCCTGTGGCCCCCCCGAACCTGGGGGTCTTCCCTGCTGGCGGCAGGGTGCGGATGAGGTGGCTCTTCCCTTGGCAAGTGCCTCCGCTGGGCCCGGCCCTGTGGGCAGCGTCTCCTTGGCTTTGCTGTGGTGGACCGGTGGACGCTGGGGTGTTGGCCACCCCGGGCTTTTCCATGGCCCCGAGGTCAGTCAGCATTGGTGACAAGACCTTCCCGGAGTGACTGGCTGTCAGGTGTCAGGATTCTCCAGTTTGCCACTGAACCGGATTCCCTGCTGAGGGCATGGGCACTTTGCTGCCCTCTCCCCACGGCTGAGGAGGCAGGGTCTGCAGGCGCGCACCCGGAGGCCACGGCCCCTGCTCAGCTGTGGAGCGCCTTCAGCTCATTGGCTGCTGGGTGGGTCCCGGGTAAACGCCACAGAGCTCGGGAGCTTCGGCCTGATCAGGCCTGGCCTTCTCCCAGAGGGAGACCAGCAGCTCCTGCCGCTCCTCCGCCTCCCCTCTCTCTCTGGCAGACGGGCACACTGCCCAGAGCCTTCCTGTGCCACCTTCCCTATGAGTGGGGAGTCGGGCTGCAGGCTTGGTTCTCTCCGCCGTGGGATGTGGCCCTCCAGCGCGTACCTGAGCCCAACCACCCTGGACCTGGGACATCAAGAGACCTAGCGGAGCGGCTGGGCCCTCTGCAGGGGCAGCTTCCCTTGGCTGAGAGTTCCCAGGGGCCCCGGCATCCTGTGGCCCGGGCTTCAGTCTCTTTACAGGTGGATGGAAACAGGCATTGGTGTGCCCTGTACTAGGGGCACGCTGCCTCCTCCTGCCTCGGGGTCAGGCCTGCTCCGTGTCGCCTTCAGCCCCTGCCCCCCGCTCGGCTGTGGTGGGCACTCAGACCCCATGCCCATTGGACCGGGACACCCAGCAGCCCCGTCTGGGCTGAGCTCCTTTCCAGGAGCTGGTGCTGGCGGAGGAGGGAGCAGGGCGAGAGG